TGTATGCGGATGTCACAGTTGTCCTTCAGCACTTATGGCCATTAGCAGGAGTTCAACCTGTTCTGTCATTATACTGCTGACACTGTACAACAGGTTGTATCTCGCATTGGCACTGGCTTCCATATGTCAGCACATCTGTGAGCGGTCAACTCAACCAACCATCTTAAAGTCCCCCACTTTTGCCAAGGATCTTGCTTGAAGCATATTTTCAAGGAGACAAGAGTGCACATCTTTTAGTTGTCAGATTTCTATGTATCAACATGGATTAATTCCTTTTTTCTCCCAAATACTAGTTTATAAATGTAGGAATTTTCCAGTAAATGCATTATGTCATATGAAATTCCCTCCTTTATACCTCTTGTTGTTTTGTTTATATTTTGTGGCTTCCTCCTGAAAACAAATTTACTAGCATGAAATGTCATTCTGTGGAACACTGGATGTTTAGAATTACATATGTAATGTAGAATTCAACAGACATTAATGACCAATTAGCTATATGTCAGTACTAATAATGACATCATTTTTCAGTCAAAATGAAGGACTCATATCTTACATAGCTTCTTCACAATCACTTTCTCTGACATTTAAAGTGTCACTTACATTCCCATCATCCTGTCCCCATTAAAATCCAAGCATGTAGATTTATGTGAGGCTGGATGAGGATTTAGTACAAGCACAGAGGATGTAAATAATCTTGCCCATTACAGATACACTGTGTGCTAATAAAGTGAAAGATTAACTAGTGCTGCTCCATTGAAAACAGCTGTAGTTGGGTTCATTTTTTTCCTTTCATACTAATAAAACTGAATGGAATATACAGATTGACTATTTTCCTTCGAATATCATTGAGGAAAATACTTTTAATCAGAAGTGAATATTATCTGGTGTTTATGTGTGGAAGGTTATACTGTAAACTGTAAACAATGATAAAAGGCATTTGTGTGGCTTTTTTTTTTACTTTGCAATGTAAAATTAACTTTGTGATGTGTTCCTACAATTAAAAACACCAACAAAAGCTGTCCTGTAGGTGTGATAGAGTTTTTCACTGCTTCTTTATCAAGTAGTCATATATTTATCTCTTCGTTTGCTATGTGTTGTAGTCCTGTAGCTCTGATTCTGTGACCAAAAAAAAAAAAAATCCTATTAGTACAAAGATCTAGTTTGTGTCAGTGCAATAATTTATTCTGTCACTATATACAGGAGCTATTAATATGGATATGTTGGAGGAGATATGCTGAATATGCCTTTTAATTCTCATTGTGTCAGGAAGAGAAGACATTTCTCATAAATAAAAGAAATAATAATAATGTGTATAACCAGGCTTGTCAGACTTGCACCGATCTCTACAAAAGGGTTTTTAAAAAAAGATTCATTGATTTCTGGCTATTTAATGAAAGAAGCAACGAGAAGGCTGTTGTAATCAATTGAAAGGTTAAAAAGTGTGCATGTTCCTTTAAATATGTGTGCAAGTTACTATCTCATTTAATTTTTTTAATGTAAATTGAGTGTTTTATTGGATCCAGTATAAAGGTTTAGTGCTTTTTTGGAATGTTTGACTTCAATAATCAAATTAATTGGAAAGAAAACATTTGATGTGAATAGCAGCAAAAGGCTGCATTTAGTAGTATTAATCCAAAGTGTTTCATTTCTTAGGAGGAGCACTTCAAGTTTGAATTTAGTGATATTTTTGAAAAATTTGGAATTAAATCTTTAGGTTGACCTGCATATGCTTTAAAGATACACCTGCTTTGCTGTGTCCAGCTTTTGTTCTAAACCTCTTCATAAAGCAGTGTCATTAAGTCATTTTAACTATGAGTATTGTCAGCCTTGTCTCAAAAAGCAGATACAAATGCAGATATGCTTTTTGTAAAAGTGAACGTGTTGTTTTGCTTGTGCAAGACCAGATTTATTGCACTTAATTTTAGGCACTGGCCTTAGGTTCCCAGCCACCGTAGCTCCTTCTCCAGTTACCTCCCACCGTGCTTACAGAGCGCGACTCAGGACTTGGACCCTTCTATCACTGTACTGCATGGACCCTCAGTCTGCTACACTTCTAACATGACATCTTACCCAGATTTAAATTTTACTACTGCAGGCATGTTGCAAGTCTGATGCAGTTTCTTATGGTAGCCTTTAATTTCTGCTACCCACGAGCACGAATTTCCAAAAGCAACCTGAGTATCTGTATTGTATAAGTAGGAAAGAAGCCTCATCTGCAGGAACCCTAGAACAGCTAGAGCATGGCTGCACAAGAAAGATTACTGTGTGTTGAGAAAATGCAGATAGATATTTACAGCTCAGTGCACTCATTAGTCAGAGCATGCAATCTGGGGCTGAACGTGAAAACTGGCTCGAGATGCATTTCATAAAATTGAATAACCGAGTAAGTGGTTGGTTTTTCTGTCCCCTCTGCCAGTTTAAATAAAATTCCTGCTTGAGCTCTGCACAGCCAGTTGTCTCCTGTGCTAGATTTTGGAAGATTTTTAGCACATGGCTCAGCCTACATGTCTTCTTACTGTGCAGCAAGGGACGCAGCTGCCATTTGGTGGCATTACTGGAAATAAAACAAAAAAAAAAACCCACTTCCAAATCCCGTTTTAGATGAATCAATCCAAGACTTTAATGAAAAATCTGAGGATTAACTTGTTTGGAAAGACAGGTGTGGTTTGGCCAGTAAATTATTGTTAATGTAAATAACAGATTATTTATACGGAATATTTGCACAGTCTCATGAGGGATTGCAAGAAGCTAGAGATCCAAATTGCTGCAAAAAACTACTGTCTCAGTACAGGTAACATCTGAAGTGTCTATCCCCATACTCATAAGTGTATTGTATAATGTTTATGTAATCAATACCTACAAATTGTGGTACTTACAGTGTATTTAAATACTGTGAGCAGTACACAAGGAATCAGCAGTTTTGAATACTGGTGATGTAGACTACTGAGTGTCTGTGTCACAAACAGGCACAACATCACCCCGGTGCAGTTGACTGGTGTAAGTGTTAGTAGAGTCTGAAACAGATGCTTTTTCTCTTTTGCTTTATGAGAGCCATGTGGATGCTGCTGGTGGTCTTTTTTTTTACTGGAATTGCCTTTGCTGTGTAGTCTTCAGTTTCCATGTGTCCAGCATAGTGAAGTGTAACAGTAAATAACGGGCAAGTGCCAGTGTTCCTTCTGCGTCCTTGGGCTGACTGGCAGGCTGGCTGGCCTCTGTCAGTGCTGGTGCCAGGCACCATCAAGGAGGACAAGCTGCTCCAAGGGCAGAGGAGGCTGAGGGAGCAAGGGCAGCACCAGATGTATGTTTTCTGGGGCATATAGATCCTTTCTGTCAAGACTTTTACTTTCTAGAGATGAAACATACTGAAGTGTGCTCACCTTTTTTTAAGATGATTTGTTTCTCTTACCTGAGTAGTAAGCTTGTATTATTCTAGAAGGTGGGCAGGACATTTCAGACAGTCAGTATCGTCAGTCCAAAAGGTAGTGGTGTTACTATTTATGGAAAAGCAGTATCTTCATCAATTGCAGCTCTAATGCATTATAGCTAGTGGGGATTTCCAAAACAAAAAATCTTCACTTTGTCCAGCTACAGTGTAGGAAGGAGGGCTATAGCGCAGTTATGCAAGAAGTGCTGTCATGCACCCACAGACAAGATCGCAGGACAGCTGGAGAGTTGAAGCCCTGCAGCCTTCTGCTGTGAGCCCTGCAAATGCTCGGCCTGAGAGGCTGCTTGCTGCTGTGCTGGGGGGTGGCCACAAGGAGCTGCCCTGCAGGAACCAATTCTGGTGGGCTCAAGGCTAGCACATGTGCCATCCATGCTTACAGGTGCAGCATGGGAATGGGCTTTAAGGGGTTTTACCAAGGGTTGTGAAGTACTAGAGGAATGTGTTCCCATTTTCTAAACTTGATTAACAGGAAGATAAAGAGCTTTGTATCATGATTTTCATTTTAATGCCAGCTATTCAGATTAATAAAGGAAACTCTGGGTGATAGGAAATACAGTAGCGTTAATAAATGACAGTAACAGTTTAGATTCTTCATGATTTTCCATGGTTTGTACGTATAACTTCTTTGGTGCACTCAAGAATTGCAAAAGAGCTAAAATTTGTGATGTTTTTGTATTCAGTATGCAATGGGAGCAAAATTCCTGATACACTTGGTTGTTCTGATGGATGCTTAAGAAGGGTTCCTTTGAATTAGTGTAGACTGGTGCAGTTTGAACCTCCGTCATCTCAGTGTTGGTTTGTTTTGTTTTTTTTTTCTCTCAAAACCAGTTGGGTATACAACTCCTTAAGCAGCTCTGGGGAAAATTATCAGGTGTGTGCACTGGTTTATTGCCTGCTTTAGCAGACCTGATAATTTTTGTTACCTGGACTCAAATTTAACTTTGAAGAGATTGTCCCGTCATTGTCAGGCTTTTTCCATTTTAGGTCTGAAGCTATGCTTTATTTGCTCCTAGTCATGCTGTACATTTTAATGCGAGTTTCAGATATTAAGTATTGCAGTTTATTAGACTATAAAACAGAAGTTTGAATGGCTGTGGTGTAGTTACTATGACATGTGGTTCATGATGTTAAAAGGTCATTGTGAAAACTTACGTGGAGCAAATATAAGAGAAACACAGCTAACTCTTACGCGGGGAGTGTAAGCTACAGATTAATAGCGTGGCTGGCTGTGGAGCTGTTCTGAAGAGATGGCTATAGATACTTTTGTTTAAGAAATTAAGATTTATTTTTATTTGGATTCTGACTTTTGCTTGTCTGTGTGCAACCTTGTAACTTCCCTTAGATTTCAAGGTAATCTTTTTCCATTTTAGATTATCAGGCTGCTTCTGTTTTGCTGTACACAGACTTCATGCACATCTGCTGTGAGTTGTGAGATGCATGAGATAGCTGGAGTCCAGTAAGGATTGCAACTGTTTGTACCTCAGCATCCAACAAGAACCTAACATAGCTATTGTCTCTCAGTGTAACTGTAAATTCCTTACTGCTTCTTTTGCAGGGCTCCTCGATTTAAGGGATTCCAGCAGCAGGACAGCCAAGAGCTTCTGCACTATTTGCTGGATGCAATGAGGATTGAAGAAACAAAGGTAACACCTTTGTGTTGTGTTTTTAAAAAAGTCAGGAAATACTTGACTGTACTGTAAACTAATCGTCATTCTTCAGTATTCTTTGTGTTTCCATTGTTCTTCATGTTTTAAAGATGTCCTTTATAATGAATGTGAGTCTATTTTTGTTATCTTGAGAAAAATAATGACTTTTTAGGAAGATGATAGAATCGTGTTCATGTTGGTATCTTAAAATTGCTGATTGGGGTGAAAGTTTCGATGAGCAATAGAAAGAGTGTGGCAAGTAGATCATGATAACTTTGGGAGTGTGAATTGTTCTTCATTTATTAAGAAACAAAAGAACAAAAAAAGCCCCTTCTGAGGATTCAGGAAAAAATGCCTGTGAGGATAAAGTCTTGGGACAGAAATTAGCAGCTTCAAGAAGTGAGTCAGCCCTCAATTTTCATAGAAGCCTATTTCACTGAAAAAAGTAGAACAAAAATAAAATCTTGCAGAGTTTCTTTTATCTTAAGAAGGTGTTAAAAACTACTTATTTTATAAATAACTTGCTGTGTTCTATTAAAATCTACATCTGAGTATGCTAAGTATATAATTAGTTCTATTAAATGAAAAATATTCCCCCTGTATCTTTTTTCATATTTCTTTCCCTTCATTGTTTCTGCCTCCTGCATACAAGATGGTTTTTTTTGCTTGCTTGAACTATTTTGACTGTATCTGATTTCATCTGCCTGACTTAGTCTTGGAACCTTCCTTTCAGATGATATTGTGGTAAATAACCTTTTCTGAGTCTAGTCAAAAGAAGGTCCTTAAACATTGTACTGACCAGCGTGCTTCTCTTCCGTCTCATTTGATAACACAGGGAATGTAATGATCCTAAGCTGAATTCTTCTGGAAACAAAATATAAAGCTGTAACAGAGCCCAGTTTGTGACACTAGAGTAACACTGAATGAACCCTGACATCAGTGTACTTAATAATAAGCAGAACTGAACTACAGGGAGAAAGACCTGACCCTTGACATTGCCACGGTTACAGGGCGGTGTGTCAGTATAGGCACACGGTGGAAGCAGGTGACTGCTGCTGCTTTTCCTATTCAGTAAGAGCAGTAGCTGTGCTTTTACAGAAGAGGGAAACTCTTGTTGCTGTTTGTTGATTTTCATGTAATGAAAGATGGAAAGTACATTTGCTTCACAATTGTGGATTTGCATCCACTAAGCTGCTTCTCTAGTCACCGCTCTTTCCCCTGCCATCAGTCTCTTGGCCCATAAGTGAATGTGCCATCGTTACAATAACCTGTGTTTTCAGTTGTTTGCTGAGTTATCTGTTAGAGCTGGACAGCTATTGAAGCTACCATAAAAGGGAAAAGGACATGTTGCGAATTTAAATGATGTTTTAGGCATTAGAGTACGTCTGCCACCCTCAGCACTGTGCACATAAGGGCTGGTCCCACCCTTTCTGCAATTACACCCCTGTTTGCCTGCAGTGGTGCGTTACAGCTAACACTGACTCCATCACCTCGGGCTGCTCACCACGGGTCGTGACTAGTGAAAGCTCTTTTTTTTTTTTTCATCTTGTATTTGGAGTCTGTAGATTGTGTGACAAACAGAGCGGGTCAGGGCACGTTCTGCTCCGTGCCAGTAGGGAGCGGCATTGTCAGCCCTGGGAACTCTGCAGCTGCCAGCTGCCCGTTGCCCAGCCCCACGCCCCCAGCCCAGTACTGGGGAAGGCTCACAGCATGCTGCCTGCCACCAGAGCCAGAAGCGTGTCCAGCAACTGCCTATTCTCCTGGGCACTGCTTGTAACGCTGTCCTCCAACAGAGGCATGCATAGGTGGCAGCCCCACTCGCAGCGTGGCAAGAGGTGCTCTGTGCTCCACCTGCCAGAGGCCTGGCTGAGTGCTGCAGGCCGGTGCCCTGCTGGGAGTCTTGCGTTGACTGCCAGAGCTCTGAGGAGAGATGCGTATCGTACAGAGCATGACATGAGTTATAACCACTTACGTAGCTCCCACAAGTCACATTCCACTTTTGCCTTTTATCTGTGTTTTCCTGCTTCATAAAACGGCCTTCTCAGGCCAGTGTTGAACTTTTTCCTGTCCCCATTAGTGTCTGTGTGTACACAAGTGGGTTTTTAAGATAAAAGGCTGTCGATACGACGATAAAAATTACATCCTGACCAGCGTACCCAGCAATGTGGGCTGGAGATTGTTTCACACCAGGGCCCGAAGTAGCTGAACCCTGCTGCTAATTGATTAATGTCTGCTGCCATTGTCGGCAGCACCCTGCCCATTCAAAGACTGTGTTTTTCTTTGACCTAAATAAATGGTTCAACGCACTAATCCCAACAAAAGGGTCGCTTATGGCCCTAGACCCATTTATGGTGTTCAACTTTGTGAATTATCTATTGATTAGCCCTTTTAGTATATTGTTGGCTTTAAGATGAACAAAGCTGAGCTTGGGGCAGCGGGAGTTAATTCACAAGCCAGGTCACATACTCATAAGGTAGGAGTATGACTTACCCTGATGGGTGCCTGAACTGGAAACCAGACCTCTGGGGCTGCCTGCCATCGTCACGCTGTAATCGATGGCTTGAAAGTGCACTTTGCTGTCTGCAAACACAAGTTATTTGTTAGCTTTTTTCTGCTGGTGCACAGGTTTTGTGTTACTCGTGGAACGGTTGGTATCACCATTTGTTCCTGGAAGGGTGCTTTGCTCTCTAGTTGTGACTTCGATACCGTGTTTCATTGTAAATGTCATTTGCACCCTAACATGGGAGGCTGTTAGTGGAGTTTCTGGATTGGAAAGCAAGTACGTTTGCCAGGAGAAGAAAACTGGGATCAGGCATGCTGCAGTGTTCTCTGGTGGTGGAGTCAGCACAGTCCTCTCCTTCCTTCTTCATAGCTCATCACAGGATGGGCAGAAGCACATTTTATATGAGCAGGTGTTAGCAGCATACACATCCAAATGATTCATAAAAATACCGCTTTATCCCAGTTACAAATTCAGAAATATAGGGGAAGACTTCCCTATTTCAAGCTGCAACCACTGCTCACAAGTAAGGATATATTTCTTTCTGATTCTTCTTTAAAAAATGTAACTTTCTGGGATTTTTTTTTAATAGCGTTGCTGAATTTTATATGGATTCATAGAAAGTTTTGTGTATCTTTAAAGATTTTCTGACATATCTTTGAAATGTACAGTGTTAGAAAATAAACAGAAGTAATAAATGGCTGAATAGAGTCACAGAAGTCTGGCAATTGAAAGGCTCTTAGCGGCCCTTAGCTGCCTTGAAGTATTTTGTATCCCAGTCAATCAGTAATAGATTGTTCTTCTGGTAGTACAGTGTTGTTTTTTTTTCCCTCACTGTGGAATAAATAAAAAGCATTTATTCACTTAATCTTACTGTTTGTTGATAGCCTCTACAGCTGCTCCTTTTTGTGGAGAGGGAATTTTGAAATGGTTACATACTGAAGCTAATAAGCTTGTGTAGCTTTGACAGTGTTAATGAATAACAGTAGTAAGTTATGCTTCTTTTAATCATATATTAATCGTGTTTAGAATGTTTACACTGTAAGTACTTGTTCATTTTATTTATTTTTTAATTCTATTGCTATCCTTTAAATTACAGCGTATACAAACTGGTATCTTAAAAGCATTTAATAATCCAACAACTAAGACAGCAGATGAAGAAACTAGAAGAAAAGTCAAAGGTATGAAACGCTTTATTGAATCACTTTTAAAATGTAGAAGTTTTAAAATACCGTTTTCTTCAAAACTAACTATAGCAAACATGAGTCTCAAAGTACTGTAGTGTTAAAATGTTTTATTATGTATTATTCTAGTGCCACCTAGCGCATATCTAAAGTATAGAGAGCTTTTTATGTACAGACTGTAGCCAGAATAAAAGTTTCCACTGTATTAGTAATGCCTTCTGTAATGCTATATAGAATCTAGTTTTGCTTTCTTAAATAGCCTGCTGTTTGTTTGTTCCATATCCACAGTTACTGTATTGCTCAGAGAGGCCACAACATAAGCAGAAGTTATTTCTATCAGGTGGCTGTTACTGCGAGCGCTCAAAATACAATTACAAAACCAAAATGGGAAGCTGTTTCAAAAGAATGCTTGTTTTTTTTTTTAACGAGTTCAAAATTATTTTTCTTTTGTGTATATTCAAAAAATGTAATAATTTTTGCTTTAATTAAAGCATTATTTAAATAACGATGAAGCTCTTTTGAATGTTGACCTTCCCAAATTTGCAACAGTTGAGACATAGAACTGACGTTCTTCTTTTTTCTTTTTTTCTGTTTTTTATTGGCTTTTCTTTTTTTTTTCTTTTTTTTTTAGTTTTATCGTTTTGAAGGCTGTTTAGAAAAATTGACAGCCTGTCTGCCATTGTAGTGTCTATATCAAAACAATACAATACTGTATATATATTAAAACTGAGATTATATTTAAAGGCTTCTTCTTGAGGGATACTGTATGATTATTTTGTTATAGTAGGTGGGGAAAGCAAATATGAAGAGAATTGTATCACTGAATAATAGATGTTTTTAAATACTGAAATACAGTATTTGATGGCTTAGTTACTGTGTTGTGTTTAAAAACTTTTGAATATGTTTAATAATTGTGCTTTCAAAATCTTAGAATTTTGTTGTACTTATAGTGTGGCATTGGATCTGTTATTTTTCACATTTAAAAAAAGGCAATGTTTTTTCAGCATATGGAAGAGAGGGTGTGAAGATGAACTTCATAGATAGGATCTTTGTTGGTGAATTGACTAGCACTGTCATGTGTGAGGAATGTGAAAATGTAGGTATTTTGGAATTTGGTTTGATGTGGAATAGATCACATACTGGTTTGATTACATTGTCTTGAAAGTATAAAATTGTATTGCCAATTTTATACTTGCTTGTTTGTCTGTAAAAGCAAGACTATTGACAGTTTCTCATTTATAATAACAACTTACTTACGCTTCCTTAAAGCATTATCCTCTGCAAACCTAAGAAGAGGGATCATTTGAATTCAAAGTGGTTGCAAATAGTGGGCTTCATTTTGTATCTAATTTAAGGCTGGAGGTTCCAAATTCTGTAATTATCTGTGTTACACAAAAATTTTTATTTGATATTCCTAAAATGCTTACGTATCTTAAAATATAAAACCTCCTGCCTAGTCTTGTGGGATATACCTGAAAATTGGGAATTACTTGCTTTGAATTAGTATGAGTGGGGAAATGCTAAAATTACTTTCTTTTCTTTAAGTGTTTTTCAGAATTAACGTAATATCTCTAATGAACAGCATATTCCTTTCATAATTAATATTACTGACATTTCATCATAAATGCTTTCCATTATCCTTATGATTTTCTTTAACTTTGGAAAAGAAAAATCTTACTTGCATGACTTTTTAAAACTGAATATTACATTTGTGTTTGGTTTGGTTTAAAGCATTATATTTAATATTATAGAGATTAAGTAAATCAGTCAATCTGAATACTTGAGCACAGTTCTGCAGTGCCAGGTAAACTTCCCTGTGTGTGATGTGCAGATTAAACTTCAGTGTGCTTCTAGTATCAATGAAGAACTTCAGCTGTGTACCAAATAGGCATCGTCTGTGTTTTGTGTGTACCATTTATTTTTGTTGGGTTCTTATGTTATGCCTGCACAGGACTCAGGGCTTGGCTAGTGGTAGCTGTATGAGGACAAGCTTAGCAGTTGCTTTCCTTTGCTTGCATTGGCAAATATCTTTCTGACTAGTGCTTGCTCCTGAAAAGTCGGTCTCTAGAGGAACCCCAGTTTGAATATTGCTCAACAGTCAGCAAGTCAACACAGTTAAGACAGTTCTAACCTCATTTATTGTTTTACTGGAATTTAAATCATGCTGAGTCCCTCACACAACGGATAAATGTAAGCTTTTTTTTAAGAGGAGCCTCTGGTCCTTGTGTCACAGATGGAAGATAGGGTCATAGACATCAGAGAAGGGCAACAATGTCAGTAAGTGGAGGTATGACTCTGTTTAGTAATTATGTACACACTGTAATGTTCTTTTTAAAGGCTTTGCTTTTCAGTCTTTCATGAGGTAAGAAAAATTACTTTTCGAAGGAATGTGAGAATGGCAAGGGAGAGAGGGTAAGAAACAGGCTTGGTCTAGATGTTGTAGTCAGAAAGTCATATTTCCAGTTTCAGCTTAGAATTATGTGGCTTATAGAACGAAAAATAATACTGCAGAACAGACAATAAGGGATTTTGCTGAAAATAAAAGCACTGCTTTTTCCCATTAATTAGCTTTATTTTAATAATTCCTAGTGTATGTTGCAATATGAACATTTCTAATAAAACTTTTGTCTGCAGTCAATAAGCCTGACATCATCTTCCCTGTGAATGCCAGGCTACAACTTGCCACCTAACTGCCATTAACCAGTTCTTGCTGCTGAACAACATACAAGATCAGTGCCTGCACAGAAATGTCCAGGTTCAGGAAACACATAAAAGTTAGTTTTTTTCTGCTGTCCATCTAGAAGAACCACATGAGTTGAAAATCTGTCTGGAGCTCAAAGAATCTGAGCACCACAGTGCTTCTAGGTGTGGCTTGTGCCTAGAGGAATGGCCTTGCCTTTGTGTCTGTGTGCTGGAATTCCATGCAGTGTTAGAAAGAAAATAAGAACTATCTTAAAATTCTAAAAGATAGGAAAAAAGCTTGTGGGAAGTTCTTCATTGTAGTTTGATACAGCTTGTAACTGATTAGCTTGTTGTGTAGTTTTGGATGATAATCTGGTTTGAAAAAAAAAAAGGTATGTGCTGAACCTGTGAATAGCTCTTTGCACTCAATATACTTTTTCTCTTTTCCTTCAAGATTTCAACAGTAAAAGAACCTTTCATTGATCTTTCACTTCCTATAATAGAGGAGAGGGTAAGATACAGAATACATAGTAACTTGTTTTCACTGGATTGCTATATGAAGATGTTTCTGTATGCATATGTACAGTTTTGACTTCAAATCTAGAAATGCACGTTTGTCTGTAAACATGTGTGCGTACTGTCTGCTCATTATGTGATTTTTATATACATATTTATAGAGAAAAAATCATTTTTTGATTAGACCAAACTTAGGACGAACGACAGTGTTATTTACAGTATATAGATCTGAGATTAGTTTAATAGTTACTTTTAGCATATAAATTGATTATAAAATTCTTTAGAAAGGTCCCAAAAGATAGATTCTAGCTTACTGGTTTGCAAGTAGGGAGCTGAAGCACAAGGTTGTAACACACAGGATGTATGAGTCGGGGTGAAAGTGGATAAACTTTGAAAATATTTGTTCTGGTGTTTTGTCATTTTAGGACATGTACTTTGTGTGGGACTTGGAATTTTTATTTGGGAGTAAGATGATGGATTGAGAATGGTTCTTCCCTGTCCCTTTGCATGTTCACATACATTTAAGGAAGAGTATTTAATCTAATATTTGGTCCTTCATAAAATGTACTTGTTTCCAAACGCCAGTTTGGTTCATAGCAACATAGGTTACTGTTTTCTAATGTACAGAAAACAAACCCACCTACATTAGTCACTTTCGTGCCGTAAAGGAATGAAAAATAGGCATATATCCTTTCCGAAATTCCTGTCTCATTTCTTAGGTTGCAAAACCTGTGCCTTTGGGAAGGACAAATAAAAGTAAAAGTGTGCATGAAGCAGATCTTGGACAATATTCGTGTTCTTCCATCAGTACACTGAATAATCAGCCCAAAATTGTCAAGAAACATGCTTCAACAAAAGATAAGGTAAGAACTTAAATACTCTGACTAGCCAGCCATTTCGAGTTTGTTCTGAAGTTTCTATGGCAACAGGAGAAGGAATATTGACACCTGCAATTGTTTGTTTACCTAGATGTCAACTACTGATGTATGTCAACTACATAGATTAGTTGAAAAATATTTAGATAACTATTAGAAATGTGAGAGAGTATAGTCATTGAGAACCATTAGATTTTCAATTATGGGTTGTATTTGCAAGAAAAAAAAGATCTGCATGTTAATTTCAGTTGGTGTTGGTTTAGATTTTCTGTTCAGCTTTCCTTTTATTGTCCTACTAATTTGTTTCTGGCTGCAGCCCCATGAATTGTAACGCTAGCTCAGAGGGCAGGCAGGTCTGTACTATAGCCATCAGAGGGATTAACTGCCAACAGGCACAACAAAAATAGTAGCAACTCCAGAGATTCTTGGAGGCTGAGAGTGGGATTTCCATGGAGCATTTGGCCTTCAGTAACCCAAGGGGTTCAGTTCAGCCTCTCAGTGCAGTCCTTCCTGATGGCAGCAAAAGGGTTCTGCAAGTACGCTAGCTGAACAGAACTGTCTGTTTGTTTTACAGATTAAAATTAACCTGTAGTAAGTATTTACTTACTATGAAAGTAAGTGCACTTTCATTGTTAATAAAAATGGGGAGGGCTTTCAGTGTTTATTAATATTATTTTTTTATAATTTTTTTTTAGTAAGCCTTATAGTCCATATAAAATTATGGACAAATAGATTCTATACTAGAGGAGACATGGAAAATTCCAAAATAGAATGAATAATAAAGTTAATGTTGTTGCATAAAAACATGATTACGGGATGGCATCCAAAATTAAGATAAAATACAGTTTGGATTCAACAAACTAGGCTATAAAGGAGGAAACAGCTCTGCTTTCAGTAAGAATTGATAAAGTGATCAGTGAGGTGGCTGTCTAATCAGTGATTCTGTTCCCCCATGTTTCTGGACATGTATTTGTCATGACTTTACTCATCTTTTGAATGAATTTTATTGTAATAAAGCATTAAAATTTCTAATCTAAAACAAGCAGTGTTGAATTCAATTAGCATTTCTTGATATTCTCTGACTTTTGTTAATTGCTCTGTAAGTTTGCTTGTGAAAATCCAGGTGTCCAGTGGGTGTTTGTGCAGGTAACAGAGTATCTGAACATTGGTTGTTATGTTTTCTTCCTGAAGCGAGGCACTTCACAATTTTAAAAGTTGTAAGAGTTGTGTAACCCCCCTGAGCACTATCAGTAATTTCTGACAAGTTTCTCTCCCTCTTCTCTATGAAGAAAGTAACACAGCCAAGACAAGGAGTCCCGGCAGACAATCGTGTTTGGGGGTTTTAATGACTTCTTCATTTGGATTTTGCTAAACATTGTTACTTGTTTTTTACGTATAAGGACTTTTGAATTATGAAGTAGTGTTCAGTGTGACTTTAAGCCCTACTTGGGCTACTTATGTTGACTTCATTTGGACTTAGTTTTAAGCTTTAGGGATGAACTTAAGTAACCGTTGAAGATTCGTTGTGAATATATTTAAGGAATAGTCTTAAGATAAAGATCTTATATGGCTTCAAGTTAGGCACTTAACTGTGGTGCCCAGTATGTTGGTACCTGTGACTCAGAGTGGGATCTGAAACTTCAAGATTTACCTATATAGGTAACAAAGACAGTCCAGAAGTCCTCCCTACTAAATTTGAATATACCTGGCAACAGTTTTAAGCTGCAAGAGTCAATTTAGATTGGATATCAGGAAGACATTTTTCACTCAGAAGGCGGTGAGGTGCTGATACAGGCTGCCCAGAGAAGCTGTTGGTGCCCCATTCCTGGAGATATTCAAAGCTGGTTGGTATGGGGTCCTGGGCAACCTGATGGTGGTGATGTCCCTGCCCACAGCAGGGGATTGAAAATGGATGATCTTTAAGATCCCTTCCAACCTGAACGGTTCTGTGATTCAGTGATTCTAAAGATAGTAGGAAATTCTAAACATAAAGTCATGTCTATAATTATATCCTTACTGCTACTTAGGCCCATGACCAAGTGTGCAGAAGGTATTTCTGTCCACTTAGCTTCCCTGTTAAGGAAGCAGACATGAAATTTACTTTCTGTTGTTTGTTCTGTCTATGGAAGGCAGTGGAAGGAAAAATAGTCATTTCTTTAGGAAACAAGCCAAATGAAAGAAAGAATTGCAAATAACTTCAGATTATGGTAGCTTAAAGTACTTTTAAATTTACAGTAGTATTTTTTTGACAGTAAAGCTTTTTCTTCTTGCAGTACAAAAAAAAAACACAGCTTCAGATGAAGTAAAATATACAAATAAAGAAAGACATTGCTAGAGATTAATTAATTCTAAGACAAGTGTCTGCAAGGTGAAATGAATTCTCTTCTATAGGTGCTCATCAGCTAAGGCTTCTAGTGGAAGGCCAGCTTAAACATGAGAACCTTTTAGAAGCTTAAGTTAGATTAAAGGAATACTGCTTCACATGTGCCATCCACAGCTGTCACTGTGATTGTAGGAGGTATTGATTTCACAGTAAGTATAATGGTCATAGTTGACTGGTATGGAGGTTTCTAATCCTATATTAGTTTAAACGGATCTTAAGGAGATCAAGTAGCTTAAGCATGTGAAAGATGGAGAAGATAAAATACTAAATTTCATTTGCTTTGAATTTGTCATCTCTTAAAAGTTGTTTTAGATCACAAGTATGTTTTCTGTTTCTCCTGTATTCTACTAAAATGCCATAATTTACAGAATCAGTTGAACCAGGAGAGAAGGCTTGCCAGAAAAGCTTCCTCTAATGAAGAAGAAAGAAGCCCTGTTATTATTCAGGAAAGATCCAAAAAGCCAGAGCTAGAAGATAGCTCTAGTGTGCTGTACTCCAAAGACACAACTGTGGAATCTGCCATGAATGGGAGTCAGACAGAGGGCAGCGAGAAGGAAGCCAGCCGTTCTGAAAGCAGCTTTGATGCAGACAGTGAAGCCTCTGAAAGTGAAAGTGCTTCTAAGCAAACAGCTTTTAGCTCATGCAGCAACACATCTGCTTTGCATGTCAACCACGTCAGTGTTAAAATGCCACACACCAAACCAAGTGACAGTAACGAAGAGAAGATTTCCAGTGCCATATCCAAGCTCAGTTTCTGTGATACTATAAACGAAGATGAAAAGTCAAGCTTTGGTGATCCAGGTTTATCAAATAATTCCATGTTCTCAGCAGACAAGTCCTTATTGTCCTCAAACCCTCAAAATGCTTTTCAGACGCTTTCCCAGAGCTATATAACTAGCTCCAAGGAGTGTTCTGTCCAGTCCTGCCTTTACCAATTTACCTCTGTAGAGCTGTTAATGGGGAACAACAAGCTTTTGTGTGAGAGCTGCACAGAAAGGAAACAGAAGTATCAGAAGAAATCCAACTCCTCAGGTAACATGCTTGTATGTGAGCATTTCATGACCAGGATGGATTGGGCCCTGGGCCTGTACCAGATCTGGAGGTTGGTGGGCTTCCCTGTGGCAGGGGGGTTGGAACTTGATGATCTTCGAGGTCCCTTCCAAACCAAGCATTATATATTTCTATGATTCACTGTACAAAATTTTCTGTCAAAACCTGTGCAAGCTCTGATGTTTCATTTTTCCACCATGGGCTTCCGACTTGTGGCTAAGCAGAAAATACAAATATTAGAACATAACTGTAGATGTAATTTAGCATCTATTCTGCAGTTGAAATATTTTACTTCAAGCATGTTAATTATTTTTTCAGGGGAAAAAAAAGTGCTGGTGACATGTTCTCTTCTTAATCTGTAGCTAACAGCAGAGCTACTTTCCGTAAGAGCCCCCATTCACTTCCCACTGCAGCATAGGCCACAACTGCCAATCCTGTGTGGTCAAGCCAGCAGGTTAGGAGGCATCCTGAAATGGACCTCCTCTCTTCAGACCCTTCTCAAAGATAAGCACAAAGTGCTTTCCATGAAGAATGGAAAAGTAATCTCTAGCTTAGTGGCTAGGATGTTGGCATGGATGAGGAGACCTGTGCTTTGCAGTTATTTTCCCAGTGTCTGTTCTTTTCAGGTAAAATGCTTTCCACAGGAAAGTTGTGGGATTATGGCAGCAGATGCTGTATGTCAGTGTACACACTGACCTAGGTACTGAACGTGCTTCTGGATTTTGGTCTGATTTGTGTTAGGCAGATCAAAGTAATGCTCAGGCTTGGTAGGTTTTTATATAGAAAACAAGAAGAATGAGAAAGCATTTTTCTGTTAGTCCACAAAATTTCTGTTGGAGAACATACACGTGTACAAAGTCATTGCAACATAGATCTGTTCTTCTGTCAGAAATTAAAAAAAAAAAAAAAAGTTCTGTGTGATTGTCCTCACTTCACAAATTCTTGTGATATTCATAAATACAGAAAAGAAAATGGAAGGTGTCTACACGAATGCTCGGAAACAGCTACTGATTTCTTCAGTTCCTGCTATTCTTATTCTCCATCTGAAAAGATTCCACCAGGTAAAATGCCCAAACCTCTTCTATTCCTCTGCTGTTCTGGTGGATGAGCAACTATTTAAGTGTCATTGTGCATTTTAATGTTTGCTTTTTTTTATGAAGGACTGTTCTGAAACATGCTTGTGGTTTTCTGAATCTCTAGTGCATTTAGCTATTCAGATGTATCCAGGGCAACCTTTTGTGTGTCTGTCATACTTGTGTGTAGCATGCAGTATATTAAAGATATAATGGAGAAAGTTTCAGTAAATTCCAATCTGATTCTTGGTTTGGTTTATTTTAATAACATAATAATACATATCAGCTTTAAAAAGCTTCCTAGTCAAAGTATTTATCATACATTCTTTTTTTCTCTTTGTTAAAGGCTGGTTTGAGTCTACGGAAAGTAAATAGGCACGTGGATTTCCCACTGATTTTAGACCTAGCACCATTTTGTTCTGCTTCTTGTAAGGTATGCATTTCAATCTCAGTGTTTATTGTGCTTCTAGCAGTTGCTATTTCCCTGAACACAAGTTGACTGGATTGATTATAATGAAGATGATGATGATGATTATTCCTTCCTTTCCCATAGAAATTATAGACAGTGTTTTCAAGCAGTGTACTCAGAATGTTAGCTGACTGAAATTCCATTTATATCAATGTAGTGTGAATGTTAACTAATGCTACTTAAGCTGTGCTGCCCTGATGGTTTTAGTGTCTCTAATGGTGTTAAGGGCAGATACTGCTGCTTCCATGGTAACTGAATTTGGTTAACAGACTCTTGAGTATTTTTAATAGATGTGTTTCGTCACTGGAAATGCTGTAGATGTCTATCTGTTTTTTTAAAGTAATACTGTTGAAGGGTAATGAAGATATTTGTAAAATTTACTGTGAAATAATTCGTTGTTGTTTTCTGTGTTTCTGGGAATACAGAACGTTACAGATGGTGCAAGAGTGCTGTACAGCCTTTATGGAATAGTGGAGCACAGTGGGTCAATGAGGGGTGGTCATTATGCGGCTTATGTGAAAGTCAGAACACCCTCCAAGAAATTACTCGAACATATTTCCTCCACAAAAAACGTTCTAGGTATGTACAACAGAACTTCTTCCTCTATGAGTAAAGCCAAAAGCAACCACTGGCTTCAGCTTCTTTTCATTAAGATTTTGAACTGTTTTACCTCAGAATGTTATTTTTTGGGCCCTACAAATAATTCTGGTTTTTCCTGGTACACACAATGCATGACCTGCTTCTATATCAAACCCACACACAGCTGAGTAAACAACAGAATTTTGGTTCAGTTATTAAATAGAGAATTGATGGAAAATGCTCCTCTTCTTCCTAGTCAAAGCAGTACATTTGGAGGAATAGCACTGCCTTCTAATTTGTAAATATTTGGTAGATTTGGTATTCCTAGTGTAAGAGCCAAATCCACAACAATTTAATTTTTTTTTTTTATATAATTTTTACCCATCTTACCCATCTGTTAAGAATTGGTATTTTTTCATGCTTAAAAATCTGGAATACTCTGATTAAATGTGAGGAGCAAGATATCTTTTCTTGTAAGGTGTCTCGTGCTATTTGGCAAAGAGCATACCAGTTCTTTTTAATGCTTTGGTCATGCAGAGTGAAATAAGATTCTAGCATAGAAACTGTTAGTGAATGATTTGGAGAGGCAATGTTGAGTTATCAGAGTATGTTAAATGTATTTACTGTTTCCCTTCACAAGGGAGCAAGAACCAAGCACACATTTTGTCTATCCTGGGTATTACCACTTTGCATTTGAAGCTCATTTCCCAGAAATACAACATTTTAAAATAATTTTTGGAACAAGTCTCCCTCAGTCTGAGGCTTCCCATGTAGTAATTACTAGAACTGATTATGTCTTTTCTGTGTTGTTAGTTTCACACTGATCAGTTTTTGAAATGTGATTTTTTTTATTGCTTTTTGAAACATCCATTGCATTTGTTTGATGATGATGTGAGAGACAATGAATGTGACTTCCTTCGCTGTTGCATTTCAGGTTTAAAAGAAGCCATGGGAGCATCAGCAGGACAGTGGGTGTATGTTAGCGATGCCCACGTTCAGATGGTTCCAGAATCACGAGTACTAAATGCACAAGCATATCTGCTTTTTTATGAAAGATTACTGATATAATTCTCAACAGTTTAATTAAAAAAAAAAAGTAGTGGTTATTTAGTTTCTCTTATTTAAAGCTGCAGTAGAAAGAGTACCTGTAAATACTGTGCCTTTATCTTGCAGAGAATTTACCATATGTTGACTCTGAAATTCAGTCAAGGTATTTTAAATATCTGAATGGTTCCTTTAAAATATGCACTTTGTCACACATTTTAATTTTACAGTTAGAATGTAAGATGATGTTCTATCCTAGTGAGGTCAGTGGAAACTTTCGTTGTTGATTTTAATGAAGATAAGCTTTCACCCATAGTTCTAGAACAGGTGAGAATAAAAATGCTGATAGTGTTAAGTGCCTGGATTTGCTGCTGTACAGTAACAATATAAAGTACTTGAACTGCTTTTCAATTGAGTCTTTATCCTTCCCATCCCTGGGTTGGATGTCTGCTGTTAGGATTTCTGCAAACATGTACAGGTCAAAGCATGTAGCCTGCAGATGTAGTAATTTGGAAAGCAGCATTTCCAGAACAGAACAACAACAGATGTCTCTGGATAATGCTGCAGTGCACTTTCCCAATATGTTGTTGGAAATAGGTTGGGAAAGTATTAAAATATTGCTTCTGCAATGTGACAGTGTAGATAGTTAACACCTGTTCAGCTGTCTCCAACAAGTGCTGGTATAGCTGTATACTCCTGTTTTAATGTAAATATATACTGTGGTGTGCATGTATATATTCTCTAAGATAAATATATGCATATATATATGCACACCATAAATCCATCAATATATGTTGTCATTTTACCTATTAGGATAGGAAGGAATTGCAAATACTTCTGTATTTAGTAAATTTTCAAATTCATGATTGTGACAGATGTACAGCATATGATGAGCTTGTGTATGAATATGTATGGAGTTTAAGTGTAACTGGATAATTCTGTTACTTTTGGTTCCAAACATTAATTTGTTTATCTGTTCCTGAATATTTTTCTCATGGGGAGTAATAAACTATAAATTATTTTTGCACTGTGTGTGTGAGTTGGACAGTAAATGATGACTTATGCCTTCTGATGCATCCCTGGACTTCCTTGTGCCATCCCTGGAGGGCAGCAGGTTTCCTAGTTGCAGAAATTGATACTGTAGGCTGGCTTGTGTCCATTATTTTGACTGTCCAGTCTGTGATGTTACTTCTTTCAGTAATTTTTCATTTCCATCCGAGCTAGATAACCCTCTAAAGTCAAAATCTGATGATTTTGAAGCTATGTAATTATTTATTCAATAAGCTGTTGGTTCTGTAATTATTACATATCTGGTTGAGCTTGCACTTCGGTAGAGAAAAACCTGCATTTATTTCTGCTTACTGTTTTCATTTATAGAAATGCTTTGCTGTGAAAGAGCTTGCTGTTCCTTTCACCATCTCTGCTATGTTTTATCATACTCGCGTATCTTTTCTATTCTCTAGTTCTCTTTCAGAACTGCATCCCACTTGCATTCACCTCTTTGCCCAAGAAGATAACAGATTTGTTCAATCAAAACCGCTGAGGTATATTTTATAACCACAGTGTTTTTGCAGGCATTAAGAGCTAATTGTCCAAACAGACATAGTGAGCTTCTGGTCACGCAGGCTTTCAAAGGAAAAGTTACTCTAGCTAGGTCAAAATTAGGCTGTACATCTTGGTCAACTCAGTCATTTTTTTATCTTTACCAATTAAAATTATCTCAATTTACCCAAAAGAGAAACTAAACAGACAGGTTTAGCTATCTGTATTCCAACTAAACACATGTTAATCAGTGTCTACACTAAGACAGAAAAACAAACAAACAACACAACAAAGTTTAAACTGGAGTTAGTTAAAATGTTCTCTTTTACCTCTCCCTCCACCCACCTTCCCCCTCTTTTCCTAAAGTTGATCGAAACTCAGAAATATTTCTGAGCAAGAATTGCAGCAACTAGAGAATAAGTTTCACTTCTGTGACTCAGTCTTACTTAGAGACAACAGATGGAGTGTGTCTTACCCATCTTAAAGCAGAGATCGACTTGATGAGGCCCTGAACTTTGTGGTCTTCCTGACTTCTGACTATGTATAATTACCGAACTTAAATATGTACCTATAGTAATGTCCTATTTTTTAGCCTAGAACTAGTTCCCTAGAGGGCAGAACTAAGAGAGAAGCAGAACAAGGTTTTCTTAGGTTGTGTTTTCCTTTTTAGCATTATTTTTGGGAAGCTCTCATTGAGGCAATCTTTGCTTCCCTTTAACCAAGGTTCACTGCTGTTTGAACTAATGAAATCTTCCCAAGTGATTAGGATGCCAGGAAGTATGCTGACAGGATGATTTCCTCAATAACATCTAGAGAACATTTTCTTTCTGTTAGGATATTTTATAGAACATGGTGGGAAAGAGACCAACCTTCCCTGGTCTAGTATTAAATGGGGAGATTGCTGGCCCTGCCTGTGGCAGGGGTTAGAGATTCATGGTCCTTGAGGTCCCTTTCAACCCTGGCCATTCTGTGATTCTGTGAGACATTAAAAAAATCCAGCACTTAACAAAGATGGCCATCATTCTTGCTGTTGGATGAAGCTTTTTCAGTTGAAGTAAAAAGCACTTTTAGCAACAGCTCTAGTCATTTCAGAGTTGGGAACAAATGTGAAAATATTGTAGAAGAAAACATTCTGTAAAAATAAGTCAGTAGGTTTTAGAATGAAGAATTCATGACTCAAGAGAATGCTAGAGAATAGAAAAGATATGCGAGTTCATGTTCAAGTGTCTGTTAGAGTATCCTTCAAGACTATATGTGCTGGAATTTGGCTGCATAGCAAATGGTTATACATAAATCTGCACTATGAAGACCTGTTACAGTTCTTTCTTAGGAACTGCAGAAGTTCAGAGCTCTCCTGGAAAATGGAGATGGATATCCTATATTTATTAAAATGCTAAACATGATTCTAGAGCATATTTTCAAAGCCTAGGAAACAGTTTCCTAAACCGACAGATGTGTGCACACTACTGAAAAGCCATGGGTTTTCAGAATTTAACTATTCTTCCTTTCATGCAATCTTTTCCTGTTATGAGTCCAAAAAACCTTTTGAAGCCTCCAACATCTGCTCTTCCTGGAGATATACCATACCTTTTTTTTGTTTTGTTTTTTGTTTTTTCCTGGGCACAGCAGCAGCCTGCTTCCTTATTTGGAATAGCTTAGAAAGCTCTTTCTTTTTGTCTCACCCTTCCCTTTGCACCACTGTCTTCATCAGCTTCACTTGTTCTTTATATTTTGGCATTTCAGTTAGCCTCTGCGTCAGTGACTTTTCTTTCATCCACTCTAACCATAAAATAATGCGTCTTTCTCGTCACCTGGATACCTTGAATTAGTAAAACTCCTATTGGAAGAGGTACTCTTAACTGTGATCTTGTTCCTCTCCCTACTGCTATTCTGGCTCTATCTATAGGCAGCAGAGTTATCTGAGATAAGCTGACTCCCAAGCAGCTGACCACTCACACAACACTGCCTTCAAACAGTAAGGAAGAAAGCAAAGTAAGTAACTGCCCATCCTTCAGTAAGAAAACTTAATTTCTGAGAAATATGTGAGTTGTACTTGGAGCAACTGGAGCACCTACAAAAGTTTTTCCAGTGATGAGGCATCAATACAGATGTTGTCTTTGGCTCTGTATGCCATTTATACGGTATTTGGCTAAAGGTGGCAAAAAGAATTACACTAACCTATCGACTACACCAGTACATATACAGACATAATGTCTGTATTAGCCTTTTCTGGGAATGTCCCACAAATACACTCTGAAGAAAAAAGAAAGGATGAGGGGAAAACCAACAAACAAAAAGCCCTATGGTTCTGTGCCCAAGATATGTGCACTGTAATTGTCTTTGTATCCTTGCAGTC